GCAACAGTGTTTCTGGATGGTAATTAGATTAGATGATAAATTATTATCATTATTATTATTATTAGATTATTATTATTATGCATTTATGAAGAGTGTCATAGATACACTTTAGAAATTTGTCTCGCAATAGTGTGACAAATGGCAGCGACAGATTCACGCACGTGTTGGTAATGTATATATGAATCTGTTGCCCCTGAGTTCCTAACTTATAATGCTGGGCCACTGGTCCTGTATGTTAGAGTGTCTGTGACTTATGGAATGGTAAAAAGAAGCTGATCTGGGGGACTGGTAATGCTACAGGAAGGAATTCTGCAGGATAAAGTAAGTATAACTGATTTTCTTGTCCCCCCTAGACATAAAAGATCATTTAAGCCTTGCAATGCTGGGGAAGCCCCACTGCAAGGGTAGATTTTCAATTTTACCTGTTTTTTTCATGCAAATAGTGCACCTGATTTTGGCCTAGTATTAGCCTCTTCCAATCCTGTGTACAGAAGAGTTTAGACTGGGAGAGGGAGGTCAGCACAAGGAGCACAAGGAGAAAAAAATGCAGATAATAGAAGATAGCAGAATGACAGAGGGATGAACACATCAGTCTGCTGCCTGGGGAAAGGGCAAGACCTGTGGGTGTGACTTGATTGCAGAGGAATCAGGTCTGCTGCCTTGCCAGCAGCACTGTCTGACAGATTTGTGTAAAACATAGGACTGGATGAACAGAGGTACAAATCTTGGGGCAGGTAAAAGACCAAACATATATTTAATTAACCTGTGTATTTAGCTGTTTACCTGAAGTTCAGATTTAAAGTCTTACTAAATCCACAACAGTAAAATCAGTCTGTATATGCAGTAAAGTATGCTTGTTATACTCACTGTAGAAGCTAAGGGGTTAATCCTCTGCATTGTTTAAAAATGATGTTTGATCCTTCTCTAATCCTCTCCTTCTACTATTGTCCCCAGTCCATCTGCTGATAGAACAGAGTCTTGGGAGCAAGCTGCACATGCTCAGTCTATCTATTGTCTATTGCTAGAGAGTTTTTTTTTCTTGGGAGAGTGCATGTGATCAACACAGGACCAATCAGCACTGTCCAGACCAATCAGGGGTGAATGAAAACTCCTCCTACAAGCTTTAACCAGTGCTCTGCTGGACACTGCTAGAAGTCACAAGACTGCTCTAACCACTGATGAAAAAAGGCATTTGGCAATTTATATTTACTAGAATAATTGCATTTCTATGCTCCATGTACTGTGGGAGACCAGATATAATGATTGCAGAGTCATGGGTTTAGTAAAACTTTAAGTAGTGTTGAAACTTGCTGAAAGCCTGTTGAATACTGTTAGCAATTGATTTAAAGAGCTAACATGCCTATTAAAATTTGTGTCTAACATGTCCTAATTAAACCTGTATAGATAGCTGTTTGCTGGAGTTCAGCTTGAAAAGGGAACTAAAGAATAAAAGATTGCAAACAGATATACAATGCCCATTCAGCAATAGAAAAAAAAAATTCCTGTCTGCTTACAATCCTCTGCAGAATGTATATGAACGTGCGCATTCTTAGCTCCATTTACATTTCTGGTGCAGTGCCAGTGTGCTGCGATGAATGAATCCAGCACATGCACAGGAGTGACGTCTTCTTGCACTGCCCAATCAAGACGGCTGAAGACCAACACTCAGAAGAAGTTGGGGAGAAGTTGGCAGCACCAGAGAGGGACTTTTTGTGTGTCGGATCGTTGGAGCATAAGTATTTCTTGCCATAAGTTCCACTTAAATTTTGAAATACCAAAGACATAATGAAAAAATATAAGAACTGTGGCAATCAATAAGACGTTTTGAAGATTAATTTAAAAAAAAATAAGAAATATGTCTTGGCACTTAGCATTAGACCTGATCACATTTGGAGAGTCAGTAATATATTTAAGGGAAATTATACCAAAGTTATGGTTAGTTTGTTTATATTTTTACTTTATGTATAATCTCTGCTTATAAGCATTTGAGCTATGACAAAGTATTCTCAGAGTAATATGGGTTAGCTAAAGAGACGGTACAGCAGAGCTGCTTGCATTGAGGTACAATTTATGTGATTGAAACTTCACACTGATGCCTTCAATATAGGATGAGTACCTGGGATGAGCTACTGCAGATTTGTCATTAAAGTGTATTTATCCCTGGATATCATCCAATTAATAGAGGAGAGCAAGCTATACCTTGAAAAGTATTAATCTGAGGAAGTTATGCCAGACACCAATGACAATAACCTCTTTATAGATGGTCAATCCCAGACTATGCAAACAGCTTAACAAACCTTTAAAAGTAAGTTGACTGAATTTTCATTTCTTCAAAGCAACCCTAGTATATGGGCCTTTCTGGTGCAAACAATAAAATAAATTAAGCTGATGCCCATTGAAAATGAAACAGTATCTAATTTAACATGGCCTCAAAAGCAGACACTTAGAAACTTACAAGAAAATTTGGAAGTTGTGATAAAGCCCTCCAAGGAAGGGTGGGGGGCTTCTATGTGGTAGTGCCTGTCAATATTATCAGTTAAATGCCTAGAGTCCTTGGGGATGCCCTATAATCTTGGGCATAGGCTCACAAACCGAGCTAGCTAGTTTATTGATTGTGACCTAAGACCACACATGGTCTGACTGCCCTCACATGTTACAGAAGGAATTAAGATCCCTGCGAATTCCCTTTTAGTTGCTCTACTTGAGCATACCTCATGAGTAAGGTACAAAATACCCTAATATTTTGGGCTTAGGGTCACAAACAGAAATAGCTAGCTGGTTTATTGCTTTTCACCGTTGGTCACGTGATCCGATTACTCGCATATGTTAAAAACACAATCAATTTGCTAAGGATCCTGGATGGAATAGATATCCCGGTGAATGCACTTCTAGTGACAATCAACATTGAGGAGCTCTACTCAAGCATACTTCATGAGAAGAGTATCAGGATATGATTTTGAAGGAATTAATCATCCTGGCCATTCAGTCAATTTATCTCTAGATTCCTTGTGCTAACATGTAATGTTTCTAACAGAGATTGACATAATAGTGAGAGGGACATTTTGTGCCCTCTCATACACAAACCTGTACCAAGGGGGTTTGGAGCACTATTTGCCAATTAGTTCTTGTTTATGTACCTGTGACATTTTCAGGTATGACAAAGGTAGATGTTCATCATTTGGGTGGGCATGTCCTAAAATTTCTTACATTTATAGAGGCATTACGACCTATCCTTTCAAACTCAAGTTTACAAAAATTGGAGTAAAAGAAAAGAACTCATTTTTTGATGTGGAGTTTTTGTCCAGGAAGATGGCATTTTGTCCCCAGACACGGTACAGAAAGCTCACATCCAGTAACAATATTACATGCCCAAAGCACCCACCTAGTGCTTTTGGTGCAGAACATACAGTGCAGATTACCAAATAGACAGATTAGGCATAGGCCTATGGGCTCTATGTCATTTAAAAGGGCCCCGCAACCACGGATCATAATATTATTGATTTGTTGTTGAAAGAAAATTACAATAAAACTTCCTTAAATTGTTTACAATAGATAGAAATCAACTCAAAGAAACAAAAACTTTACATTAAAGACGGTACAGAGAAACTACTGTATTAATGTAATGTATCCAATAACAACTTAAAGTACATAAACCATAAGCATCAGGTTCTCATTACAGTTTGTCTCTTAAAAGCTCATCTTCTTTCAGCTGTCAGTTTTGAAAAAACCTTGGTGCAACCTACGTGCGTGTAATGTACAGTAGTGATGGTCATCTCCATCTAGCGGCCGACATGCACACTACTTAATTCAATGTTATTCCAGAAACTTCCAGAAACCTGCAAGTGGGGCCCCAAGGTTTTGATTGCCTTGGGGCCTCAACAGAGTTTAAACCGGCACTGAAAGCATGCCATGTTTTAGCATACACTACTATTACTAAATACTGTATGTAAGGGAATATCCATAAATTGTTTATAGATGTTGTGCCTCTATAAGGGATAAGGTGATACATAACCACTACACAGAGACAGGTAGAGAGGATTCATGTCAAGTAAGAGGAAAGCTCTATTGTGGAAAGTGTACCCAATGCCCTTAGGTAAGAGAAGGATCTAATGTGATTTAATGTCATGCTATCAAATCAAACATTTTTTAAACCTAGGCACTTTGTGGATTGTGACACAATTGAAGTAATTATTTTGATGTCTTGCTGATGCTTAGCTTTTTACTTAGGAAAGACAGTGAGACAATTTTGTCAGAGGATATATAATCACGTATATCTAACCAATCCCCAATTAGCAACTCAGATAAGTAGACATGTTGGCCTAAAACATACTTATGATACTTACTTGATCTTATGTGTCTTTCACAGCTCTTGAATGAGTACATGAGGACCCAGGAGGGGGGGACTTTAATAGGAGAGTCTAATGATGCAAAACAAGGTGGATTCTGACATTGAAGGCTACCCAGGAACCAAGCTTAAATTACATTCTTGGTTTCAAATCTTCCCTTTAAGCAGAATACTGCTGAAATTGGCATTTTGTTCCTTTCTTACCAATTGGAAAATGATACAGATAAATATCTACAATATAAGGGCTTAGCCTGGGTTCACATACATGCGGTGTGGTATATCACATGTGATTTGCACAGGAACCGCACCGCATTCCCTGCAAATCACATGCGATTTGTGTGTTGTGCAATTGCAGCCGTACATTTTGTATGGCTCCAATCGCACTGCACCCGCACCAAAACATGTAGAACCCTTTTTTGCATCCGCGCTAGAATCGGATCGCATGGGTATTCACACCTATGCAATCTGATTGTGCCACATCGCACCGCGTTTTGTGGACCGCTTTTGGGGTGTTGTTAACTTAACATACACACCTGCAGCGGTTCACATGGACAGGGTGCGATTTTGATGCAGTGCCGAATTCGCACTGAAGACTCTGCGAATTCCGGACTGCATCAGTATGAACCTGGGCTAAAAAGGGCTAAGAAGGAGGGCAGGCACATGAAGCTACAGGGTTTGAAGATAGGCATACAGTGGGTCCACTATCTATTCATCTAGATAGAAATGAAATAACCGATGTATGCAGGGGCGGACTGACCATTTGGAAATTCGGGCACTGCCCGAGAGCCCGGGGTCAGTAGGGGGCCCCATGAGATGCCCCTGGTACCTTTTTCATAGGCTTTTTTGAGTTTGGGCAAGGACACAGGGGCCCCATGATCCCCTATTGCCCGGAGGCCCCATGAATTGTCAGTCCACCCCTGGATGTATGTAAGATAATGTGGTTTGCCTTTTTTTAGTTGTTACTGCACTGAACTTTAGAGACTCTAAGACTTGTTGCCATATACAGTATGTATGTATGTATGTATAGGATATGTACATATGTATTTAAAAGTGGAATTAAATGATTATATATATAGTGTGTTGCAGGTGATGGAGGTTGTGCATTGTGTGGCTGTAGCCAGGGGAGTCACTATTTACACTGCAAGAGGTCCTGGGATGACAAGTGCATAAATGCATGTATAGGAAGTATTAAGAGCTGTTGGTAGATGTACTTGACTTTCCATTTCGGTTCCCCATCTAGGTACCTGGCTATGTACTTGGTCCTCCATAGATAGTTTCAAAATGGAAGGACCAGGGAGGAGGTGCTGGAAGGATCAGGGGTACCTTGGTGTGACATCTGACAATCTTGTTAGTACTGACAATATTAGGTAACCGGAAAAAGTAAAAACAAAACCATTATACATTCCCTTTAAAATGAAATGCAAGATTTAGATTTAGGGATTCAGCAAGCAATCAGGATGACAGGGGAGAAAAAGGGAAGGTAAGTGTCAGTGAGTTACTATCAATAAACCTGTCATTTTGCCCTGAAAGTTAATCCAATACTGTTTATTGATATCATCCTTTTGTAGTCACTAGACATAAGTGGAAAAAATTATAGCAATCAGAGATATAATACTTTAAAGTGAAACTAAATGTAAAAAACTAAAATTGTGAACAGGTGGGCTTTTTATTCATTGTTGTTGTTCCTAATCAATTTGTACAACTTTGTTAGTGGAATAGTGTACTGATCCATACACCTAGGCTTAGGAATAAAACAATTCTCCAAAGATTCTGCGAATCCTGTTTGAAATGTTTTGAACCCAAATGTAGTGACTAATCCCCCTGAAGTCTATAGGGAGCAAATCCTGTTGGTAAATTTTTGCATTTTTTAGGGCTAATAGATAAACTGCTGAGAAAAGCATGGGAATCTGGGCACTACCATAGGGTTTATGAACAAAAAAAAAAAAAAAACACATATAATGGGAAGAGGGTCTTTTTTGCGGGGCTTCAGACGGTCTCAGCAACAGCATATATATTTGGCTGTGGAATAGATATTTTGTCTTTTGCAATTAGCTTATCTTACATTCAGCAAAAGCACCCCAATCTGATTTATTTCAGTTTCTTTCAGATAGCTTTAGCATTGACACATGACTTTTCATAAAAGGATAATAAGTCCATTTTGACTGACAGAATTTTGCTGATAGTTCATAAAGAATTAAGAGATGCAGATGATATAGCAATGTAAAACTGGCCATCAGCAGGGCATTTTTAATTAGAAAGTCAAGGTCTAAATTTACTAGAGACAAAGAGCACAGGCCAGCAGCAGAACAGTTTTAATCAGGAAATTTAGGTCTAACTGGTGTGTTAGGTTTCAAATGCCACTGTAGACATTGATATAGACCTCCTTAGACCCCATTTATCCAGACAGTATAGTCACCTGCTGACTTGGAACCATCCACAGGCAGCTTAACTCTTCAATAAGACACAGAAGTTGATGCCAATGCAATTTTCCTGTAATTGCAGTACAGAGGATGTTTTCCAGTCCTTTGAAGTGCAAGAAAACAATGACTGAGGCAATGTGAAAAAAGTGGGGATGGTGTAATTAGCACTAAATAGTAGGAGGGGACAGAGATGGATACCAAAAGCACATTAGTAATGTTGCAATGGCCCAGAGTTACCACTAGATGTCATAAAAAAATGATAACTTTATGCATTTCAATGCATCACAGGAAAATTATATGAAAGTGGGGCACAACATGGTGTATGCCAAAGTTAGTTTTTTCACTGTAGAGATAGGGGTTGCAGTGAATGTGCACAGGATCGCCCTAGTGTAAAACCATTTATTGAAGAAATATAAAAAAGATTCAATGCACTCACATGCAGGGGCGGACTGACCATTTGGAAACTCGGGCACTGCTGGAGGGCCCAGGGTCAGTAGGGGGCCCCATGAGATGCTCCTGGTACCTTTTTCATAGGCTTTTTTGAGTTTGGGCAAGGACACAGGGGCCCCATGATCCCCTATTGCCCAGTGGCCCCAATGCGTTATCAGTCCACCCCTGCTCACATGTAGTGATGAAAATACAGGCACATCATGTTCTTATATTGCATTTCTAATAGTTATGGCATCAAATTTATGCACGTCGTGGATGCAGTCTCCCTGGTTTTCTTGAATTTGGAATTATCTTGAGACACAGGACAGATTATTTCTAAAACACATTTGAAAGAAACTGCTATGAACTCTTACTTGCATATAAAAAAGTTGCCATAATCCTAAATGGAAGGAAAACATCCCCTATAGCCAGTTTTTCAGGCTTCGTAGGAATTGCACTAATGATGGAGATTATCTGGAGCAGGCTGAGGGCCTAATGAACAAATTTATGTAAAAAGGCTATGACAGAGAGCACATCCTAACAGCAGTGGAGTGCTAGCAGACAGGGTTGCCATCGGCTAAACAGGACAAGGACAAGAAAACCTTGGAGAGCTGAGGCAAGCATGTTTGTTACCAGGGGCGGACTGACCACTGGGAAACTCAGGCACTGCCCGAGGGCCCAGGGTATGTAGGGGGCCCCATAAAATGCCCCTGGTACCTTTTTCATAGGCTTTTTTGAGTTTGTGGAAGGACACAGGGGCCCCATGATCCCCTATTGCCTGGGGGCCCCATGAGTTGTCAGTCCGCCCCTGTTTGTTACTAAATATAATGATTAACATTGGGCTATCAAAAAGGCCATTAAAAATTGGCCCATACTGAGGCAGGACCTGGATCTGGAAAAAGTTCTCCCTGAAGTACAGAAAATTGTGTTTAGGAAAGTGACCAATATTAAGTCTATTATTGTTCCCAGCCATTTGGAGAATGGTCCTGGGACAGTGAAAGACATGCCCATGTTTTTGTTTTGGTAGGGTCACACAAATGTAAATCCAGGAAATGTAAAGCTTGTAGGGTTCCTAGTACATTGTAAAAAGACATTTGTGAAAAGGGAGGTTAGGGCTTTTCATATAAATCAGTTCATTTGTTGTTGTACACAGTTTGTGGTATACGGGCTGAGGTGTCCCTGTAGTCTCTACTATGTAGAGAGAATTGTGAGCACTATGCGCAAAAGATTTGGGGAACACCAACGCTTCATAGAACAAGAACGAGATAAACATAGTGTTCCCCACCACTTTTCTGCTTGTCATGGTGGTATTACACAGGGACTTGAACTTTTTGGCGTAGAGGCTAATCCTTTGACCCTTCTGGAAGGTGAGAGATTTTCCAGACTGTGCTCAAGAGAGACATTTCTGGATTTTCGCACTTAATACCATGTCCCCTGAAGGGTTGAATGAGGAACTGGAAATCAGCACTGTGATATAATATAATAACAAATTTCTGTAATACTTTGTCCCAATATCTCTCTTTTTAAAAAATTATTGGTATTACCGCCAACATATGCAAATATACTCTCTATTGATCCTGTCCCTTTGGAATTTGTTTCTAGTGAGTCATGCTACATTTTGATGGTGTCCATGTTCATTCCCTCTCCCCCTTCCCCTCCTCTTTGTCCCCTCTCTCCCCCCCACCTTTGTTTTTTAGAAACTATGGTTATGTGTATCTGAGTTATGCATGTATGTACAGTATACTGTATGTGTGTATGTTTTTGTATATGTGTGTATATATACACATACACACACTATACAGCAAGCCCTCTACTTATGGACATTCGAGTTGTGAATTTTGAAAGATACGAACAACCTCCAAGTTGCAAACTTTCAAAGATGCGAACATGCATCCACATGCCAAATCATGAAAGTAGCTTAAATGTCTGTCGGACATTGTCAGCTGGAAGCAAACATAAAGGCAGCGGTCTTGTCTGGTCACTCAATGCCAGCCCCTGTATGTCAGCTGTTGTACTGTACCTTTCAAGGTACTGTAAGATTAAACATCCTCTCTTTTCAGTATTTCTTGTGTGTTTTATACATTATTTGTGTGAAAAGTATTATATACCTTACTTTGTTGGACTTACGAACGAACTTCCACAACGAAACCTGTTCGTAAGTAGGGGACTTACTGTATCGCCAAAAGTATTGGGACACCTGCCTTTGCACACACATGAACTTTACTGGCATCCCAGTCTCTAACAGCTTCAAATCTTCTGGGAAGGCTGTCCACAAGGTTTGGGAGTGTGTCTATGGGAATGTTTGACCATTCTTCCAGGTCAGAGGTCAGACACTGATGTTGGGCGAGAAGGGCTGGCTCGCAGTCTCCGCTCTAATTCATCCCAAAGGTGTTCTGTTGGGTTGAGGTCAGGACTCTGTGCAGGCCAATCAAGTTCCTCCACTCCAAACTCGCCCATTCATGTCTTTATGGACCTTGCTTTGTGAACTGATGCTCAGTCATGTTGGAACAGAAAGGGATCATCCCCAAACTGTTCCCACAAAGTTGGGAGCATGAAATTGTCCAAAATGTCTTGGTATGCTGACACCTTAAGAGTTCCCTTCACTGGAACTAAGGGGCAAGTCCAACCCCTGAAAAAAACAACCCCACATCATAATCCCCCCTCCACCAAACTTTACACTTGGCACAATGTAATCAGGCAAGTACTGTTCTCCTGGCATTCACCAAACCCAGACACGTCCATCGGATTGCCAGACAAAAGCGTGATTCGTCACTCCAGAGAACTCGTCTCCACTGCTCTAGAGTCCAGTGGCAGCGTGCTTTACACCACTGCATCCAACACTTTGCATTGCACTTGCTGATGTAAGGCTTAAATGCAGCTGCTTAACTATGAAAACTAATTCCATAATGCTCTGTACATACTGTTGTTGGGCTAATCTGAAAGCCACACGAAGTTTGGAAGTCTTTAGCTATTGACTCTTGTGACAGTGTGGTGATCTGTCACGATGTAAAAAAGGAGAACTAAGTTTTGGAATGGCCAGGAGACTGATTGTGCAGGTGTGTGTGGGTCTCTTCTAGAGTCAGGACCAGGGTTCTGGTCTCCACCCTCCTGAGAAGTCCATGTGGGTGCAAGGGAGCAGCCACAAGTGTGCATGGTGGCACGCAGCACTCTGACAGAGCAGACAGAGGGCCCAAGCCTGTGGGCTGGAGAAGCAGGAATGCTGTGAAAGAGCACTAACCAAGGTACAGCTTTTGTATGTGAATGGTCAAGAGGACCGAGGCATAAAGCCTGAGCAGCGGTGCTGCTAAAGAGAGCCAGGAGACTGAATCTTTTTCTTTTGTATTGATGGTGGATACCCCTGCATGGGAAACATACATTGTATGGACTTTTTTTGTTTTCTTTAATAAAAGTAGGCCAACAAGCCTTTAACCTCCCTAGCAGTATGATTATTTCAGATTTTTGGTGCTGAAAGCGGTACCATTATTTTTTGCATGGAAATATGTAGTTTTTTTTATTGTAGGCCTCTAATTTTTAGGAATAACTCACTGAAATCTGTCCGAACAAGAGTCTAGTAAACCTTTCCTGATATGATAAAACTTGAAACACGAAATCATACATTATAATTAAATAATCATAAAAAATAATAATATAATAATATTAAATTTAATTCAATAATATAATCAAACCAAAAACACTGAAATTTGAAATATAGCGCCAAGTTCGAACATTGCTGAGCGAAGTCGCAGAATCGTTTTCAGTGTCTGATGACGAATTTCCCCACAAATCATTATCACTCAATTCTGCAAGTGGTTCTGATTTACTATCGCTGTTCTCTAGCTGGTCTAAAACTGATTTTGACCTAAAGTGGCGCTTTAGGCAGAAAAAGAACAGTCAAAATGCAGGCAGGGCACAGGACAAAGCAGTAGGGACAAAATGTATGTGAAATGCTTTGAAACAGCAATGTTTTGCTAAGTAATAATCGTTTTAAAAAAAATTAAATTTTTTAAAACTTTCAAATTTGCCGCCGTCACAGGGACCAGAACACGGAAGCCGGAGAGTAGATGGCCAGGGACGCTGCAGGGGACACATCGTGGGAGCGAAAGGACAAGGTAAGCGCTGCAGGGAATCTCTGAGCAATGCCGCATGGTAAGCTCGAGTGTAGCTCGGGGTTACCGCTTTTGGTACTGAAACTTTACCCCGAGCTACACTCGGGAATACCGCCAGGGAGGTTAAACAATAATTTCTGGTGTGGACTCTACTCACTGGTAAGCGCACCCCTGAGCTAAATAACCCCCAAATATTACACTCTGCAGACAGTTGGCGACTTTTGCGCACTGTTCAGTATGCGCTGACTCTGCTCTGTCATTTTACATGGCCTACCACTTTGTGGCTGAGTTGCTGTTGTTCCCAGTTGCTTCCACTTTGTTATAATACCACTAACAGTTGCCCGTGGAATATGGATGGACTTATTGCACAGGTAGCAACCTATCATGGTACCACACTTTAATTCACTGACCTCCTGAGAGCGACCCATTCTTTCATGTTTGTAAATGTTTGTAGAAGCAGTCTGCATGCCTAGGTGCTTGATTGGATACATCTGTGGCCATGGAGGTGTTTGAAACACCTGAATCCAATGATTTGGAGGGGTGTCCCAATGATTTTGGCAATATAGTGTATATTTACAGTTAGGGCCATAGGACACAGGCACAATTTTCATACTTTTGGATCTGTATGCCACCAGGATAAATTAAAATGAAATGATCCAAATTAATTTGAAGTGCAGACTTTCATGGGCTCAAATGTAATTGGACAAATTAATATAATCATAAATAAAATGTTAATTTTTAATATTTTGTTGATAATCCTTCACTGGCAATGACTGCCTGAAGTTTGGAATCCATGGACATTACTAGAGATGAGCGAATCGAACAGGACGAAGTGGAATTCGTTTCGAAGATTAGGAAATATTCGATTCGCGCCGAATCCGAAAATTAGCAAACTTCGGATGCACGAATCGAAT